TTTTTTTTTTTTTTTTTAATATCCCAGAAGTGAAGTACCCTTCTTATCACATCGTATTGAGGGTATATGAGAGCTGCATTACCTCCCTGTGATGGTGACCTTCATCACTTGGTAATTGCCTGATGTCTCCACTGTGAATTTCCTGTTTTTCCCCTATTATACTTTGTTCTTTGGGGCAAGTCGCTGTGTTTAGCCCACTAAAGAGGAGGGAGAGACTATGTACATATGTTAAATAGAATCCTTTTTATAAGGAAGATTTTTGGATGCATTATGTGCATTATGAATGAACACCACCCAGTGATCTTGGCCCTTTGCCAGGTTTCTATTTGAGGTGACTTCTGTCCATCCAGCTTGCTCTTTCTTCTGGTTTACTGCTGGTCTTATTTTTAAAAGTTACTGTAGGCTGCACATGGTATAGCACATGCCTGTAATCCCAGCTACTCAGCAGGCTGAGTCAGGAGGCTTGAAATTTCAAGACCAACTCATACAACTCAGACTCAAAAAACAAAACAAAGCAAAGCCCAACAACAACAACAAAAACTCTGAAAAGTGTGGGTGATGTAGCTCAAGGCTCCTTAGCTTCCATCCCAGTATTTTGGGGGAAAAGGGTACTTCAGGTGGATTGTGGAAGTAAAGGCAGCATCCACAGTAAAAATGTGCCTAGATAGGGGAAATTCGGGAAATGAAAAAATAAAATAATGCCTTGTAAAGTAGCAAGAGTTTTGTGTTAAATTCAGCCCTGACTTCCTGGTAGCCAAAGAAATGTGGGAAACATCTGCTCCCAGAATCATAAAGGTCAAATCAGTTCTTCATGAGAAGCATAACTTTTTCTGGTAATAAGATCTGAGCAAAATGTGTAGCCGTATGAAATACAAATCTGTGTGCTAAAGAGCAGGGGTCAGACAACTGTGGGGCAAAGTCCGGCCCACCATCTTGTTTTATAAATAAAGTTTTATTGGAACAGAACCACATCCATTCATTTATAGATTGTATGTGACTGTTTTGGTGCTTTATTGTACACAGTTCAATAGCTATCATAGAGACTACATGGCCCACAAAACCTGGTGTATTTATCTGATCCCTTATAGAAAATGTTTTTCAGCATGTGATTTAGAGGATAACTCCTTAACATTCACTACCAAAATAAAAAGTCATGTAAATTTGTGGGAACATCACTCAGTTTAAGTTGGTAGAACAATTCTCAGGGTGTAGTAGATGAGAGAAAACTTCCACTACAGGGCCCTAGAAGGCAAAGTTTATGAGCCTTTGTTGTGTTGTTGTTTTCTGGTAACGGGGATTGAACTTAAGACCTTGCACTTGCAAGGCAGGCATGGTGCTACTGAGATAAATCCCTGGACCCTTATGAGGCATTCTTATGTGTATAAGAGCTGAGTCTAGTTCCCCTCAGTTAACTTGTTCTAATTCAATTTTAGGGCATGGCACCTGTTTCCAAGCCTTACTGGTTATAGCCAAATGGTGACTGGCAATTGCAGGCTGTCTCTTGCTGCATTTCTCTGGGTATTTGTGATGCCAAAAAAAATCTGTGTGGTCCTTTCCTCTACCCCCGCCCCCATCATTGCGCCTGCTGTAGGAGAGTACAATGGTTCTGTTATAACCAGAGATGATTTTATTCCCCAAGAGTTATCTAGTAACATCTAGTCACATCTGGGGTTGGAGGTGTTAAGTCACATTTAATGCGTAGGAGACAATATTTTTAGATATAGATTATGATAACATTCATCATAGGGAATTTGCACCTGTAAATGCTATTTCTTTATTTTATTTTATTTTATTTTTGGTACTGGGGATCAAACTAGGGACCTTGTGTTTGAGAGGCAGGTGGCAGAACCACTGAGCTAAATCCTTGGCTGTATATGCTATTTTTTGCTTCTTTTTTTCCCATTTCCCCCTTACCTGGACTACCTCTTTCCTCCCCTCTCCACATACAAAAGCTTTGTTTCTATTTTTCCTTCTGTGTTCACTTTTTTTCTTGTCCTTGCCTTCCTTTCTCCCTCCCCCCTCCCTTGTTCGCCTCATTTGAATATTTTTTTTCCAAGACCAAGGGATTTTAGCCAGTGGTTGTAGTAAGTTTATAGGGAAGGGATCCCATTGTTTACAAGCAGGTTTGATTTGGCTGGAAATGCAGAGGAATGGTGGGTGATGTGGTGAGATTACAGAGACACAGATTTCAGAGTTGGGACTGTTCTTTAGGCAGATGCAGATAGAGGCTCACAGGTAGGGCTTTTAGGAGGAGAGGCTGCATTAGAGGGGCCAGTTTGGAGGCTGTTCCAGCCCTCCATGGTCAGAGGAAAGTGGGCATGACTTAGAGGTAAAATCTGCAGAGGGTAGGCCACAGGACTAGGCCTCTCTGAATACAAAGCTGAAACAGATATCTGTCAGAGATGCCTCTCAGGTTTGAATCTGGGCAATTAGAAGGCTAAATATTCACTGACAGACGCAGGAAAGGAGGATTGGGGTGGAAAATGGTGGGTTGGGTGGATGGAGGTTGTTGCCCATAGTAATGTTTACTCATATGTCTATAAATGTATTCTCTCCCCACCAACCTCATAAGGGATTATTCTAACTACTCTTTCTTTGCGAAGTTTTTCTAGTGTAAACCTTGCAAGTCAGGTGATGAAATAGTTTCTTTGGTCCTGAGGATTTGTTATGAATAATTGCCTCCCATCTGCCTTGTTTTGGAGGGTGGGCATCCCCGTTGTCCCCAGAGGACAATGCATGCAGGCATAGGTATGTTTTCTAGATTCCTGTAGCTTTTCTGCCTAGGACCACTGTGAACTGGGAATGAGAGCAGTGGAGAGGACTACATATGTAAGTAGCTGTAAAGATGGGGGATATTGGTTTTATTTGTTTGTTTATTTATATAAGTGCTTGCTGGATGAATAAACTAGAGCAGCTTATTTACCGTGTTTCCATGTTGGTTATTTTTGGATCCAGATAGGAATTTTTAAATCTTCTACAGGTGTCTCTGGACCAAACAGTTGCTCCAGCGTTGGATAGCACCAGTTTGGGGGTAAGCGCTGGCCAGTCTGTGGACAGAGGCAACAGTCAGGCTTTTGGGAACTCCCAGAACATAGAACAGGCCTTCCCTTCCACAATCTCCAGCGACAGCAGGTGAGATTCAAAATGACTCAGCTTACACTCCTGGGGTGGTGGTGGTGGTGAGCGGGCGTCAGGACTGTCTAACCTTAAAGGTCACTGAGACTCCGAATCAAAGCTCTGAGCTGGGTTCTGATTTTGCCACAAATAGTATGTGAGCTCTTGAGTGAGCCAGTCCTCCCTCATGCTTATACGATGGGGCTAATGATTGGCACCCTGTCTTCCTCACAGAATGGCTAATAGGTTCCCTCGGAGACACAGGAAAGGGTCAGACACTGCAGACATACAGGACTTCAGCAGAGAGGCCCCAAACTAAGTCTGTACTAGTTACGGTAGTGCCCGCAGTGCAGTGCCATGCACAAGATAGCATGCAGTCGGCAGGAAATGAACAGTGAATGAGCTAGTCACTCATTGTGGCCAACCATGGCAGTTATTTTCTCATTCCCGAGTATCTGGGGGCGAAAAGAAGCTGCCTGTACCTTATTCGCTTGAGAAAGTACCCTTGCTTTTTTTTTGGAAAAGTTAATTAAAAATTTAATCAACACATAATATGTATAGACTTATAGGGTAATGTCCCCTGGCTTTACATGCTGAGGTCAATTCAGAATTATTTTTTATTTCCTTCCCAGCTGTATTTGCTTTATAATAATTTGTTCTAATCTGTTTTTGTTGCTTCACTATGTGTACTGACTGAGAAGTCCTTGACTAAATTATCTAAGAAACTTGAATTTTTCACCCTTGTCCCTGAGAGCAGAAAGTTGTAAATTCTCTGCTGGCTTTACACCTGCCTCGTGCACCGCAGCATGTTCATTTTGGCCAGTGAAGGCAGTGATCAGCTCAGTCCTAGATGTCTCTCTGTCCCCTCCTAGGCCCAATTCCCTGTCAAGCCTAGATGGCTTTTTGTTTCTGGCCATAGAAGAGATTGGAGGGCCTGCCTTATGCATGGGAAGGAAGTACATCATTATGCTTCCTCACTGCTTATAAGGGCACAGTGGCAGGTTTTCTTTTGCTTTTGGAAAATGAGAGGAACTGGGAGTATAGTATTTAGGCTAGAAGTGAGAAGACCAAATGACATGGCAGACAGAACCAGAGCCAATGACTGAAAGTTAAAAAGAGAAGATTCTATTTCATAAGAAACTTACTAGCAATGGATACTGCTGCATGGAATGGACAGCATTTGAATGAGCTGAGTTCTCTGCCTTTGAAGGTTTTCATGCAGGGAAAACAGCTGCTTGTTCAGACTTACGTTCAGCAGAGCATCAGGATTAGGAGGAAGCTCATTTCAAATGTCCTTAAAGGTTTTCCTAACCCCAGTTGTTTGAAATGCTGCAGTGAGCCCTAAACACTCCAAATTAGCTAGCAGAAGAGTGTGGGATGGAGGCAAGAGAGAGGTTTAAGAAGCTTGAAAAAGCTTCTGAATAACCCCCAGCATTGGCCCGATTTGGTGTGAGTGATCACTGTGGTGCTGACTATTACTCATGTTTTAAGGGACTGTCATTCTGTCAAAGAACTTAGGTAGCAGGTAATAGAAAGATATGGCTGATCTGGATTCAGATCCAGACCCTGTTACCTCCCAGCTCTGTGACCTTCTTCACCAGTTCCTTTAACCAATCTGAGTTTTGCAGAGCAATTACTGTTAATATGTTTACTGTTTGGGGCTTCATGTGTCATAAGTCCTGTGTTCAATACTGTGCCTCACAGCTACTCTGAAAGACTGGAATAGCATCATCAGTTTTTCAGATGAGGAACCTGAGGCCAAGAAAAGCCACTGGTTAGTTATGACATTCTGTCCCCCAGGCTCTGACTTATTATTGGACACTCTCGGTTCAAGATTAAACAAAGTGATTTGAGAAAGGCCTTTAAGGAAAAAATCACAGTGGTCCAAGGAAATTTCTTGAACATGTTTGGGCCTACAGCATAAACGTGAAAGAGAAGATGCTTATTGTGGGTGACTATATTTAAACATGAGTTCACTCTTAATTCTTTTTTTTTTTAGATAAGTTCTAAGGCTGGCCTCAAACTCATTGTCCTTCTGCCTTAGCTTCCAGAGTGCTAGGGTTACACGTGTACACCACCATCCTCCTCCCTCCTCCTGCGCCTCCTCCTCTCCTCTTCTTTTCTTCTTTCCCTCTCTTCCTCCCTCTCTCTTTCCCCTTTTCTTTCCTTCCGTCCTCCCTCCACCCCTCCCTTTCTTTCTCTTCTCTTCTTTTCTTTTCCTTTCCCTTCCCTCCCTGTCTCCCTTCCTGTCCCCTCCCTTCCTTTTCCTCCCTCCTTTTCTTCCTTTCTTTTTCTTTTCTTTTTTCTTTATCTCCTCCCTCCCTCCCCTTCTCTTCTCCTTCCTTCCTTTCTCCCTGTTCCTCTTCCCCACCCCATACAAACAGCACAGTTACTGCTCGTTGTCTATGAATTGCTTTCAGGACACTGACAGATGCAAAATGTGCGCACTCAAGTCCTGTGTGTAAAATGGCATGGTATTTGTATCTACCCTGCATATATTCTTTCTTCCCTTCCTTCCTTTCTTCTTCCCTCTTACTTCTTCCTTCCTCTCCCCTCCCCCATCTCTTTCTGTCTCTTTCTTTCCCTCCCCCCTGCCCTCTCTCCCTTCCTCACCCTCTCTTTCTCACATATTTTTGGAAGTAGGGAACCCCCAGAGTACAGGTGTCCCAAATTTGCTTGAGTGCCTTCAGTATCAATAGCATCCATTGTATCCTGGTTTCTGTCTCCAAAAAACATAGAGAGTGTTCCTGATATTTGTGCTCTTGACAATGTGTGTGCCCTCTTGCTTTATTACACTCTGTGTTACATACAGCTCTCAGCAGCAGGCAGCAGGTTCCTTGACATCATCCTCCACCCTGGTAGAGATCCTAGAAGCCATGAAGCATCCCTCGTAAGTGACTTATCATGTGTATGGTGCAGGGACTGGAGGTTTGGGAGGTCCCAGGAGGCCTGTGCCATGGTACCGTTCAGGAAGTGTGGGTGGGTGGGTTCATACCTGTCTCTGCTGCTCGCCAGCTGTGAGATTGGGCTGTGGGCAAGTTACCTGACTGTGAATGTCTGTTAGTACAATTGGATTTATTATTTTTTTATTTTTTTCCATTTTCTTTTTTCCTTTGTTTTGTACAGTGGGATTTTTTTTTGTCGGGGTAGTATTGGGGATCAAACTCAGGACCTGGTGCTTGCAAGGCAGACAGTGGTACCACTGAGCTAAATCCCTAGCCTACAATGGGATTTTTAAAGTGATTTAAGCACAGTTGTTAAAAAGATTAAATGAAATATAATGCCTGCTAAGCAAGGTAATCCTCTAATGTCAGTTCCATTCTCCTCCCTTTCTCCTGTTTCCTCAGACCTTTTTTTGTTTTGTTTTGTTTTTTTGTCTTGTCCTGAGGGGTTCTCTCAAGCTAAGAATTGCATATTCTAGAGAAATTACTGTACAGGGTCCTCACTTCCAGCAGTAGGTGATTTTATGGGAGTCCTTTCTTGTCTTTTTTCCTGCTTGTTGCCCCTGGGCACATACCTACCCTGCTCACTGCCTTGAAACCCAGGACAGGAGTCCAGCTGCTGTCTGAACAGAAGGGCCTCTCACCGTGCTGCTTCATCAGTGCGGAGGTGGTGCACTGGCTGATGAACAATGTGGAAGGGGTCCAGACACAGGCGATGGCCATTGACATTGTGCAGGTGAGATAGCAAGACTGGGCCCACAGAACCACCAGGCCCTGCTTCGGAAGTAGTCACCCAAGGCAGTGCTGAGATCTGTGGTTTGGTGGGAGGAGGATCTGTTTTTAATAAGTAGGAAACCTGTCTACAATTGATAAAAGGAGAGGTTTTATTTTCAAATATATTTTATCTGGACTTAAAAGTGTAACAGAATTTGTTCTCTGAACCGAAATGTTCTGTATGGAATCTGTGCATGTTTGAGCCTCAGCAAAATCTCTGTGAAAGATTTTTTTTTTTTTTTAATAGGGAACGCTTCATGAATTGGCACATCATCCTTGGCCATGCTAATCTTCTGTATCGTTCCAATTTTGGTGTATGTGCTGCTGAAGCGAGCACTCTCTGTGAAAGATTTTCAGAGAACACTCTCCCCGTGACCTCAGGTCCCCATTGTACCCTGGTTAATGCCTGTTTATCCAAGACCAGAGCCAAGCTCTGCGTCAGTGGCCTCTGGTGCCCCGTATTACTCTGTGAGGTCTTACTGTACCAGCATGAAGAGTGTGTCTTTATCGCTCTCATCCCCTGCCTAGACGAGGGAGTTACCAACCTCTCCTTTCCCCTCTGGGGATCAAACCCAGAGCCTTGTGCATGGTAGCAAGCACTCTAGCACTAAGCCATATCCTTAGCCCAGAGGGCCCACTTCTTATTGTTTATTTCCATATCACCATTGCTTAGCATGCTATTGGCCGAATTTAATTCCACTGTTCAGAACTGGAATTCAACATGAGAGGAGAGGGATGTTGGCTGAGGCAGTTCATGCTATCCTGTTAATACTAGGGTCCCTGCTAGAAATTAGTGGCATCAGTTGGGTTGTTATCACTGAAATATAAAATCAAAAGCTGGTTTGAATAGGTATGTAATCTTCACTTCTCTCTTTAAGAGTCTCAACGTGCTATTTTGCATAGTCTTTTCCTGGTAATTTTATTTACTCCTGAGAATAATATTTCCTTGTTCCTACAGTAAAGTGCTATTAAAGCAGTAAAAATGAATGAACTGAAAGTATACATATCAAGATAGGTAAATTTCAGAAGCATGGTATGATGGAAAACAGCTTATAAAATGATAAAATATCATGCCCTTTATTTAACACTTAAAATCCCACAAGCATACCTCATTGTCATGCCAATATATGTCTATATAATAACATTTTAAAAAAACATAATTGAGAATATTGCTCTTTATTTCTGTGAAGAGAGGAAGAGGGATGGGATTTGGAAGAATCCATAGGGACTTTTTTTTTTTTTTTTTAATAAAAAAGTACAGGGCCAGGGATTTAGCTCAGTGGTACCAGACCTGCCTTGCACACACAAGGTCCTGAGTTTGATCCCTGGTACTGGGTGGGGACGGCGGGGTTACAGTAATACCCCTTATCCACAATTCCGTTTTCCAGGGTTTAGTTACCTGTGGTCAGACCAAGGTCCAAAAATATTAAATGGCAAATTCCAAAAATAAATAATCCATATGTTTTAAGTAACCTTTAATATAGTTTATTCTTATAATTGTTCGATTTTATTTTTGTTTTTAATCACTTACTGTACCTAATTTATAAATTAAACTGCATCATATGTATATACATATAGGATAAAAACAATACTGTTGTCCTGGAACACCAGTGGATGTCAAGATTTGCATATACTCAAGTTCCTTATATGAAATGACATAATGTTTGCATATATATCCTACATTTACCCTCTCCTGATTACTTATAATGCCTAATACAATGTAAATGCCATTTAAATAATTGTTATAATGTATTGTTTAGGGAATGATGACAAGAAGGATGTCTGCACACATTTAGTACAGATGTAACGTTTTCTTTCTAGATATTTTGATCTGCAGTTGGTTAAGTTCATAGATATGGAGGGCCAACTGTATGTATAGGGTTTGATACTATATAGTTTCAGGCATCCTTTCAGCATGTTGGAACCTATCCCTGTCAGATAAAGAAGGGCTAGTGCATAGCAAAATGTTAAATTTATGAAAACTGGATGGTGTTCTACCTGGGTTTTCTTTATACTTTTCTGTAAATTTGAAACATCTGCCAACATACTATGCATTTAAATCTTTTGATATGACTTAGACCAGGCAAAACATTTAATGTAATGCAAGCTTCATATCTAATGGTGGGGGAAGGAGAAAGAGGAGGGTCTCCTCAGTCCTCCTGTCACTCCCCGACTCCATAGCATAACTGAGGGCTGCCCTTCTGGTATATCTCTGTGGGAATTCAGAGTCTCTCTGTCTCTCCTAGAAAATGCTGGAAGAGCAGCTCATCACACACGCATCTGGTGAAGCATGGCGGACCTTCATCTATGGCTTCTACTTCTACAAGATGGTGATGGATAAAGAACCTGATCGAGGTCAGAGCCGAGGCGAAGGCAGCTGCCAATAGGGGCTGGTTACAGTGCTTTTTATAACAGTGCTGCTGCTTTTTTTTTTTTTCCTGGGTACCAGGATTGAACTCAAGACCTTGTGCTTGCATGGCAGATGTGGCACCACTGAACTAAATCCCCTGCCCATGACAGTGCTTCTTGAGTTCAGTGTGTGATTTTGTATTCCAAGTTGATGGATCTGTCAACTTCTTATTCATTTCTACTTAAGTATAACCAGAAAGAGACCAAGGGACCTGGTGTGAGAACCCCACGGGTGTTTTTGGTGGCCATTTTTAATTGTAGTGTCTTCCACCACCCAGTGCAAGCGGTTCTGATGAAATATGATGAGCTCCAATCTGTGACTTCTCACTTTCTCTATCACTTCTTACTTGCTGGGTTTCCAGTTTGATTTGTTCCCGCAGCAAGACTTCTGAGTCCTATCAAGTTTTCCAAGTTCAGCTTTAAGTAGTCATCCCTTGGTATTAGAGGACGATTGGTTCTAGGATGCCTTTTCTCCTAGGTTACAAAAATCCACAAATGTTCAAATCTCTGATATAAAATGGCATATAGTATTTGCATATAACCAGTACTATTCTTTGTATAGTTTAAATCATCTTTAAATTACTTGTAATACCTAATACAATGTGAGTACTGTCATACTGTATTGTTTAGGAAATAATAAGAAAAAAAGTCTTTACATGTTTAGTATTTTTTTGGTACCGGGGATCAAACTTGGGTCCTTGAGCTTGTGGGGCAGGCAGCGGCACCGAGCTAAATCCCTGGCCCAACATGTTTAGTACAAACACAGTTTTTTTCTGAATATTTTTGATGTGTGGCTGGTTGATTTTGGATACAGAGCCCACAGATCCGGAGGGCTAACTGTATATTGATTGATTGATTGATTGATTGCAGTGTTAGGGATCAGGTCTCCTATATCCCTGGCGACACTCAGGACTCACAACAGTATGTCTAGTACACACAGCACACATGAAGACCTTGCCTAAAAGTGACTCCCATCCTGCAAACAGATGGTTTCTCCACATCTGAATCTCAGGAGTTGTGTATGAAAGGATTCAGCTGCTGTCTCTCATTGTGTTCTCTTGTTCAAGGACATGCCAGAAGTGGATCTATGTGGGATTTATTTTTCTCCTTGTAGCCACTATATGTCTGTTGATGCCTTTTTCCTTAAAATCTAAGTTTGACCAATAAATATCTGTTTTGGCTTTGAATTGAAAACAAAACAAGTTACCATTATATGCTCTGAAACTAAGAATATAAAATTGAAGTAATGTTCACACAACATAAAGTTAACCACTTTAATTGGACATCTGGAACAGTCATGCTGTTGTGTGACTACTACTTCTATCTAGTTCCAGACCATTTTTGTCATCCCAAAAAGGAAATGCCATCCACATTGGCGGTCACTCCCTATCTGTCCTTCCCCCATTCCCTGGGTAACCACTGATATGCTCTCTGTCCCTAGAGATTTGCCTACTCTGTATATTTCATATAAATGGAGTTATGCTGTATGTGACTTTTATGTCTGGTTTCTTTTACTACGTGTAATGTTTTCAAGTTCATCCATGTTGTAGCATGCAACAGCAAAAAGAATAATCATGATAACAATAAAAAGTGGTGCTGAGGGATTCTTCTCTCCTCTCTACTTTTTCCAGTGGCCACACAGCAGCACACAGCAACTTGGCACACAGCAGGAGTGGATGACTTTGCCAGCTTCCAGCGCAAATGGTTTGAGGTGGCCTTTGTGGCAGAAGAACTTTTGCACTCTGAGATTCCTGCCTTCCTCCTGCCCTGGCTACCCAGCCGTCCAGCCTCCTATGCAAGTAGGCACAGCTCCTTTAGTCGAAGTTTTGGAGGACGGAGCCAGGCAGCTGCACTTTTAGGTAAATGCTTGACTTAACTGGAGTCTGGGTTTACACTGGCAAATGGCTAGGAAAGAGTGGCAGCCAACCAAGAGAATGGTGCCAGAATTAGAGCCACTGTGGCCATCGCGTTAGCCACTATGTCTGTTGGCGTTGAGGGTTCCTATGCTGTCTTCCTGAAAGACTAGGTCTAGTTTCGTTGCTGTCTTCACCAACAGACAGTATTTAGAACCTCTCAAATCACAGCATGGTGCCAAACTTGCACAGATAGGAGAGAATAGAAAGTATGACCACTTTTCCACAAGGCCCACAGGATACAGCGGTTGTTAGCTGGTGCTCTCTTCGGGTTTAGTTTCTGCCAGAAGGCTTTTCTAGAATTCTAGCATCAACAGGATCTCAGAAGAGGAAGGACTATAAAAGATGATCCATTCCAGACACTCGACTGAGTATCATTCACCACTCATCTCTTCATCTCCAGTTGTGCTTACAACACTAAGAAATGTCAGCTGGAATTCTTTCCTCTTTTCCATGATTCCTGTAGGTAACATAGGGGTGAATACCTGCTTATGAAAATAGATAGGAAATAGAGACCTTTGCTCTGGGGGCCAGCCCAAGGGATTGAGATATGAATTTCTTTAAATTCTTTACATTTCAAAGATTCATGTGGTGGGTGAGGCACCACAGGATTAATCTGTGGGTCACATTGAAGAGATCCTGAAAACCCTCTGGAAGGAAGCAACAGCAACATAAACTCCAGTGAAATGCCACCTTCAGACCATTTGTCGCTACACTTGATCTTAGCCAAAAGGCCGAGAAGTGATGCAGACCACTTGTCTCTTAAAGTCCAGATTGTTGAAATTTTTTTTTGTACTGGGATCAAACTCTGGACCTTTGCGCTTACAAAAGCTCTGGTACAGTGTTTTTGTTTTTGTTTTTTTTTGTACCAGGGATCGAACTCAAGACCTTTGGTTTGTGAGGCAGGTGGTGGCACCAATGAGCTAAACCCCAGCTCTGGATTTTTTTTTTTTTTTTTTTTTGGTACTGGGTATTGAACTTGGGTCCTCACATTTGCCAAGCAGGTAGCAGAACCACTGAGCTAAATCCCCGGCCCTGGAATTCTTATTTAGCTGGTAAAGTGAACACCTTTATAGCGATCACAGTTTCCAGAGCCTTAGATTTGCTTAGATCTTGGCATGACTCTGACTTCACCTTGCACCCAACCCATTGCTGACCAGTGTTCTGTGTGAGAAGTGAAGGAGTGGAGAAGATGAGGCAGAACCACGAGAGGAGCAGCTCCTCCTCCCTTCACCCAAACACATGACTTTCCCTTCTCCCTTTTGTTGTACTTGTAACTCCCTTTCCTTGAAGTCATCTGTGATCAAGGTGGCCGCATACTCACTGTTATTCTGAGGAGCTCATTTCCAGCAACCTAAATCACACAGAGCACTCCCTGGGCTTGAGACCAAAGGACTATGGAGCAGCTGAACTAGCAAGCAGCAGTCTCGTGCATTTTATGCCATGCAAGAGCCTACTAGAGGCAGCAAGTGCAAGGCCAGAAGATGTAAAGGCGGGGAGAGTAAAGTAGTCTAACAATAAAAGTGGAGCGAGGACTACCTCTTAGAAGTAAAATAAACAAGCTAGGCGTGGCAGCACACACCTGTAATCGCAGCTAACTGGAAGGCTGAGGCAGGAGGATTGGAAGATTGACGCCAGCCTGGGCAACTTAATGAGACTCTGTCTCAAAAAAATTTTATAGCACAAGAATTCCATAAAGTACAATGTTAATCATTCAGAGCTAGCACTGGATTGCATTTGGGGAGATTCTCAAGAAACTAAGTTTTATCCCATATACCCCACTAAGTCAAGTTTATTTTTAATAGCCAAGTTTTAAGGCCTGTTTTTTCCTTACCTGAAAGCTAGGAGTTTTCATCTCTGAGGAGCAAGGACTAAGCCTGAAAGCTAGTTGCTTTCAGATATATACCAAAGAGAGAGTTGAAATCTCCCATTCCCAAGGTTACGTTCTGAGACAAAGGTGAGAGTTATTGTAAATAAATATTGGATCATGTGTGGTGACACTGTATTTACCTGAGAGTTGAAGTCAGCAAAAACATTCCTGAAGAACCCAGTAAAATTTCAAATTCCAAGTGTTACTTCCTTGTCATGAGAGGGCCTCAGTCAGAAAGAGCCGTTTGCTGCATTCTCACAAGTTTGGTTACAGGTTTCTCAGTAATACCCCAGATTAGAGACATTGAATCAGAGGTACATGATAGCAGCAAATGTACCACTAATTCACTTTGGCAAATGTTTTCCAAAATATACTTGTTAAGTTTTGATCCTTTTGAGGTGGGAGGGAGCTATTATTTATTTGGAAAACACTTGAAGGTGTTTGATAAAAGGAATTATTCTATTATGAATCTTTTCTCACAGTGCATATAAAATGTTAGAACAGGGCTTCTCAAAATTGGTGGTGTGAACATTTTGGGCGAGTTATCTTTATCGTAGGAGGCTGTCCTCTGCATTGTAAAATATCTAGGGTCGTCCCTTGTTCTAACCACTAGATGCCAGTTCTACTTCCCCACCCCTAGTGTGACAGAATGTCTCCTGATGTTGGCCACACTGTGCTCTGGGGTTTGTGTGTATACAAAATTATCCCCGGTGATAACCACTGCCCTGGGGGGAAAGAGCCATGAATGGAACGTTGGGGACACCTGCAAGGTTTTGAAGCTCATTAGTAACTTCTCTAAGCAAGTGTCGGGTCATCATGTCACAAGGGGTGTTTCACCTGGGTTCAAAGCCCTGCCACAAAACTGCAGCTCTCTCAGTGTAGCATTTCTTCCCTTCTGCCACCCATTCCAGCATGCTTTTTCTAGTCCTGAATTCAACAGTTCTTTGATCCCCATCAGGAATCACAAGCAAATGATCTTGTCATCTCTCTGTTCTCCCTCATCCACTTCACATCTTCACTTGCCTCACTAAAACTTCCTAACTATAGATCCCCTGCCCAGAATCAATCAGAAGTTAAATCCAGATTCCTTTTTCCTTTTGCCAGTAGCTACATCTATTCCTGCTTAGCCCAGTATCCCAGCCCTCTCAGTATTTATTTTTCCTCTCAGTATTTTGACAGCCTCTCTTTTTCTGAACTTGCCCTATTGACTAAAGTGTCCCCATAAAAACATCCTTATTGGTCTACTTGAGGCACACTCCTATTGGTAAAAGCTTAAATCAAGTTTTTGTTCATCTCTTCTGCTGGAATAGCACTTCCCAAGATTAACAGGGAGCCCCAAATTCCTTAGATTAGTGGCTACTCTGCCGTTTTAGTCCCTGTCAGTAGCATTTGTTAGAAGATCCCTAACTGCTCCTTTAAATGCTTCCCCTGTATGGCTCTCAAACACAACTTTTGACTGTCCTCCATTTTTGTCAGATCTCCTTTGCTGGTTTTGCCTAAGCAATCTCTCAATATTGCAGCAGGCAAGCCTCCTTCCCTCAGCTGGTAAGACCCTTTGTGGGCCCTCTTTGCTGTGTCCTAAGCACAGTGCCTTCATTATCCTGAGATCTGATCACTCCTAAATTTTCATCTTTCTACATACTATGCATTCCTGTTTGAGACTTAGCCATCCATCCATCTGCTACATGTCGAGGAGATGACTGGCTATACAGTGTTCAAACATATGTCTGCTGTTCCCCTCACATGCCTGCTTCTCCTTCTCATTCTGGCACTTGGGCCAGGAAAACCGATCACTCTTCACATACTTTTTTCTCTTCCACATTTTTTTTTTTGTATGCTTGTATAGCTTGTGTATTTTTCTACTTCCACAAGTACTTAAGCTTAAGGGTGATGAACTTTGTTTTATTCACTGGCTATCCCTACACCTACAACAATACTTGACATGTAGTCAACTTTAATAAATATTTTTGTCAAAATATATGAATGAATGTATGTAATTTGGCAGTGTTGGGGAAAAGTGAATTTGGAACATTAGGTCTGGAATCAGCAAACGCAACAGTAAGCAATTAGCTTACCATCAGAAAGTTTTGTTATTCATTCTATCGAAAATGCTGCCAGCCACTAGAACCTTTCCAGCCTTGTTTCACTTAATTCTCACTCCTCTCTGGAGCAGCTGGGCTGCCACATCTCAGTTTGCAGACAGCAACCAGGAGGAATAAAGCAACATTCTCAGAGACACATGGCTAGCTTAGATTGTCTGACTCCGCATCCAGAACTGTTCTCATTTTGCATGTTCTAGTTTTTGAGAGAACAGTAAGTGATACACCTGGCAGCTCAGTATCAGATCATCTGGGTGTCATTCAGTACCCTAGTTCTCACTCCCCTGTCTCTCAACAGAAGCTCTTCAAAATTGCTGAGGAGTTGCTTTGTCCTTGTCAGTGATAAGAGCCCTTTAGAGCTTCTGCCTCCAGAACCCTGGTCCAAGCTGACTTCTTCAGATTAAAAAAAAAAAAAAAAAAAAAAAC